CCTCCTCCTCCTCCTCCTCCTCCTCCTCCTCCTCCTCCTCCTCCTCTTCCTCCTCCTCCTCCATCTCCTAGCGACGGCAGGCACGGTCGCCTCAGGCAGCAGCGAAATCAACGAGGCAACACCCAATAGTTTGAGCGCAGAGCTGCCATTGAGCGCGCAGCTGCAGCAGGCGTGCGGCCCAGGCAACGCGCGGCCGTGTGCGTAACTGGGGACTTCGCTCCCGCATGCCAGAGGTGCGGGCTTGCCCCAGAAACCCCCAGGCGCCGCGTTTGGAAGCGCGGATGCAAGCTGGAGTTGCCAGGATGCGCAGAACCAGGGGACATGGTCGAAGACATGCAAACGCCGCGCCCGTTTCTCATTCCAACGAATGTATCCAGTGCAGAGGGCGGATCCCCCCGCCCCGCCCCTGGCGCCCGCCCCCCCCCCCCCCCAGGAGAGGAGGAGGAGGAGGAGGAGGAGGAGGAGGAGGAGGAGGAGGACCGCCACCACCGCCCCTCACCCACCACACCCCCCGACGCCGCCGATGCGAGCGACGTCGCGCACCCAACGGATGGCGTTGCGAGCCCCTCCGCCGCGCGCCCTCGCGCGGGGAGTCCTGGGGAGGCCCCCATCGGACTGTTTGGGGCGTCTTCGCGCGGGAGGCGGGCCGGGCGGTGAGCATGCCAAGGACCCCCGGCTGCGCGGCTGTCGACGAGACGTAAGGGTGACCTTTCGCCGGAGTGACCTTGGGTGCGGGCACAGATGGGTCCCCAGGTGGCCGAAAACGGGGCAGGAGCAACGGCTTGCGCGCCCAGGTTTGGTCCCCACGCGGCCCCCAAAGAAGCCGCGCACCGAAGGTCACTCTTACCCAGGGTCGCTCTTGCGTGGAGCCGAAGCTGTGCCTGGGCGTGGGTCGAGGTCCAGGGCCAAGGGAGCGAGTGCTCCGTCGTGCGCAGGAGGCGCGCTGGCCGCGCTGGCGGGCGCCAAACTGGCAACAGGGCTGAGCTGCCAGCGTTCTCTGACCGTTCAGGCTGGGCGTCGGAGGGCCTCACGTTTTCCTCGCCGACAGCTCCCACGTGGAGCGAGGTTGGCACGGGCTAGTTCAGCGGCCGGTTAGTGGCCTTATCGCTGGCAGATGCTCAGCGTTTCTTTTGCTGCTGGCACACGTTCAGCTGCTTCTCGGCCGGCTCAGTGCTGCGCCGTTAATTATCTGCTTCCCGTGCGCTGCTGTCCCAGCCTCGTTCTAACCGCCCTCTGGACTTTTCCTTGCGGGCCGCGAATCCAAAAAAATTGGCACGGGCTGCCTGGCAGGTCCACTCCAAAATCCAATCAGGACCTGTGGCACGACGTTGCTTGCAGTCCCGAGTACAATCCCCAGAGGAGCTCTGCCCGAATTACGGCCGAGAGCCACGCAGACTCATATAGATTCAGAGCCAGTGGCCTCCCTGAACGGCTTCGCCTTGCCAGCCAGGAGGCAGATCGGATTGCGGGGTGGGATGCCTCGCAGTGCCAAGTGCCGCGGGATCTTGCAGACGGTCTCATCGGTATCGACGCCATCGTTTCTCAGGTTCGGTCTCGCTTCGCAGCCACCGTGGTTGCCCCCGCCAGTCGCGATTCATCACAGGCAAAAAGAGCGAGCCAAGCAGTTCGAAGGCGCTCGGAAAGTCGGCTTGTCCCGACTTGAAGAGATTGCCGTTTCTCGTCATCGCCCGTGTTTGCAGTTCGATTGATCTCATGTGTCGTGTGCCAGGTGCAGACGTAAGCTAGCTCGCAGCTCTGTTGCCCAGTGGCTCGGCATTCAATATGTTCGATTGACCGTCTAGCAGCCCAAGTCTTCTCTGCTGCCTGCCTGCCCCAATCAGGGTTGGTAACCAACAGGTGCACAGCTCACGCGCGTGCCAGTATTTCGAGCACGCTGACCGTTGGGCGTGCACAAGTTGTGGGGGCAATACTCCGGGTGTCTTAATAAGCGTGGGGGGGTACCCCCCGACGGGGGTCAACTTCGCCTCGTCGTCGCGCCGCGACGGGGGTCGGAGCGCCTTCGGCGCGCGGTGGCTGCCCGCGACGGGGGTCGATGTGGGGCTGTCAGCGGGGGTGCCTCCCCCCCGACGCTTATCAAGAAACTCGGAGTAGGGATGGACAGAATCATCGATGGACAGAGTCATCCAAGGCCTCCCTCCGGAGTGCTCGCGCCAGATTCCTTCCAAAGGTGAAGATAACCTGCGCAGGCTTCGCAGGGGGCTGCTCCCTGGGGCCTCCGCCCGCGCGCAGGCCTTCAACGCGAAGGCCCGCGCGGGCATTGGGGGCGGTGGCCCACGTTCCTCCCCCCCCTCCCCATCCCTCTCCCCCCGTGGTGAGCTCAGTGGAGCGCCCGGCACAAATCCTCCTTCCTCGCTCCTCGTCCTCCTCCTCCTCTTTCTCCTCGTCCTCCTTCCTCCTCCTCCTCCTCCTCCTCCTCCTCCTCCTCCTCCTCCTCCTCCTCCTCCTCCTCGTCCCCTCCTCCTCCAGCTTCGCTCCTCGTCATCCTCTCTCCTCCTGCTGCTTCCGCCTCCCCCCTTGCGCCGCGAGCCCGCCAGGAGATCAATCGGCACTCGGCCGAACAGGCCCCCAGTCGCGCCCAGACGGCCGACCGGGGAGGATTGAGCATCGAGGACCGAGGAGGAGCACGACGAGGAGGGGGTTCAAGGATCGAGGAGGACGATTGAGATCGAGGATCAGGGATCGAGGAGGAGGATCGAGAATCGCCTGCGAGAAGGAGGATCGAGGATCGAAGACTGAGGAGGAGCAGGACGAGGAGGAGGATCGAGGATCGAGGACAGAGGATGAGGATCGAGATTCAGTATCGGCGACGGTAGCGACAACGGCTGCGTGAGTGACGACGAAGAGGACGACGACGACGACGACGACGACGACGACGACGACGACGACGACGACGACGACGACGACACGTCGACGACGACGACGAGCAGCGGCATCAGCAGGATGAGCAGCAGCAGCAGCAGCAATCACCTTGTGGAGCTGCCGCTTTGAGCGCAGCGCTAGAGAAGCGGCCACGCGCAAGCAAGCGATATGGCGTTTCGTTTTGCACGGCGCAGAAGAAGAGGTCAGTTGCGGTCAACCTAGAGGGAGGGCGAGAAAGAAGGTGGACAAAAATGCTGATAAGGAGGAGGAAGGAGGACCCAATGGCCTGTTGCCGGTAGGCCTGTAGGCCACAGCCTGAGAGGAAGCCCAAGCCCGCCAGAAAGTTGCAGCTCACTAGGACGAGAACTACAGCTACGGGCGCTACAGCCTGGCCAGCACCACGAACAACGACAAGGGCCTCAGCCGAGCGGAGAACTGCAGCCACAATGAGAGCCTCAGCCACGAGAAGAGCTACGGCTTGCCAGAGAGCACCAGCCGGAACGAGGGTTACAGCCTGACGGAGAGCTACAGCCACAACGAGAGCAACAGCTATGGGAAAGCTACAGTCCCTCGGAAAGCACCAGCCACAAGAGGACACCGAATTACGAAGACACCGCGGAGATCACGGAGGATGTAGGAGGACAGCGAGGGTTGCAAGGACAGCGAGGACTAAGAGGACGACGGGGTCCGAGGACAGCGAGGCTTACGCGAACAGCGACACCAGTGTTTCGAGGACAGCGAAGGTGGGTACAGTGCGCCGAGACACGCATGTCCATTTGGGATACGAATGAGGAAGCATGAGCCCGCAGACTACCACCTGTACGTCAGCCGCGACACGGATACGAGACTCCTGGCGGAAACTTTCCGCAAGACCAGCGCCGAACACACGGAGGCTACCAGGCTGGCAGAGGCACCATCGAAAGTTGGACCCGTACTGCGCCGCGTGGGAGGGCGACCAAGAAGGACCAGTCGGCTACCACCCCGGTGGACCTGAGAGCCGTGCAGCTGCTGCGGCACCTCACCAGCGACCTCCGCCGACGGCAAAGAATTGCGAGGAGGAGGAGGAGGAGGAGGAGGAGGAGGAGGAGACGGTGTCACGGAACAAAGAGGAGCTGGTCCAGGAGGGCCCCGAGGAGCCACCCGGAGAGCGGGCCTCCGAAGTTGTCGCTTGGGACAGCCGCCGGATCCCGCCCACAGTCCGCAGGCCGTCCGTGGAGGATCTCGAGGACTGCCTCGGGGGCTCGCCCGACGAGCACAGTGAGGCCGACTCGGCCGCCATCCGTAAGCGCACCGTCTCATTACAAGAGCCGGGCGCTCTGACTCGCATCCTCCGCTCGCTCGCTACCACCACGCGCAGGCGGAAAGCCGCAGTGCGAGTGGAGAGGCTGCGCGGCGCGGGCGGCGCATTGGGAGACCCTCGGCGGCGAAGAGAGGGCTGGAGGGGTCCCCGTGTTCCCCTGGGACGAGGTGGCCCTGGATGCTTGATGGGCGCATCTCCTGGACGTGCGCGCGACGACGAAGGCGACGGTCCCCATGTCTGCCCAGGGCCCTGAACGAGAGCTATAGCCACAACGAGAACTACAGCCACAAGGACAACTGCTGCCACAGCGAGAGCGAGAGCTGCAGTGTGAAGACGGGTTCCAGCTGGAAGGAGAGCGAGAGTCCAAAGGATGGATGCAGCCGCAAAGAGAGTTTCAGCCCAAAGGAGAAACGCTGCCAGAAAGTGGGCTACAGCCTGAACAGAGCCTACGGGACAGCTGCGCCGACCAAGAGACAGGGCAGTCCGGCGAGATGCCGTCGACGCGCACGACTGCTACGACGGCAGCTCGGGCCATTTGAGCACCCAGGCTGCGACTCCGCGAGGCCTGACAGGCGCGCATGTCGCGCCTGCCGCAACAAAAACCCACGTCTATACGAATATATCCGAGAGACCCAGGCGCCCGAGCATTGAGGACTTGAGAAGGGATGAAAAGTAGGAGGAGCAGGAGGAGGAGCAGGAGGGGGAAGAGGAGGAGGAGGAGGAAGAGGAGGAGCGGGAGGAGAAGAAGAAGAAGAAGAAGAAGGAGGAGGAGAAGGGGGAGGAGAAGCAGGAGGAGGAGGAGGAGAGGAGGAGGAGGAGGAGGAGGAGGGGAAGAGGAAGAGGAGGAGAGCAGGAGGACGAGGAGGAAGAGGAGGAGGAGGGGGGAAAAAATGTCAGCTTGCGAGCCAGCTATGCCAGGGTGGCCTCGCGCAGCGCGGTGACGCGGCGACCGCATGCCGCGCGCGGCGTGGGGGGCGGCACCAGCCAGGCGCTGCGAGAGAGAGGGAGAGGGGGAGGGGGGGAGGGGCAGGAGGCGGGAATATGGTAAGAAACAAGACGCGGAGGGGGGCCGAACATCTTCCCAACGTCATCAGGGGAGAGAGGCGAGTAGCATTCATAGAGGAGGAGGAGGAAGAAGAGGAGGAGGAGGAGGAGGAGGAGGGGGAAGAGGGGGAAGAGGAGGAGGGACAGGGGAAGGGGAATGGAGGAGGGCAGGAGGCAAGCTAGGTGAGCTCGTGTCAGATCTGACGTCCTACCCCTCCCTCCCATCCCTTACCATAGCGTAGATATCCTCTTCGTTCGCACAGTCGGATGTCGAGCAGGGCAATGATCCCGAGAGGGTGCGCGATGCATCGTAGAACACGACATAGCAGGGCGTAGACGAGTACGGCAGGGCGTAGTATGTCATAGCATGGCGTGGCGTTGCGTGGTGGAAGACTTGCATCACAAAGCATTGCAACGCAAATAATGGTATCGCACAGCGGCACATAACAGAACATTGCATAGCATGACGTTCAAGATCGCAGCGTAGCAAGGCATAGCATGGCGTGGCACTGCGTAGTCAAGCACTGCACATGCTAGCATTGTAGCTGAAGGCGTGGCATTGCACAGCGGAACACCACATAGCATTGCATTGCATGCCGTTGCATGGCACTGGCAATAATGACGTCGGCGTTGCAGCGGGAGCACGATTCGGAACGAGCAGAAGCGCGGAAATGAGGCCAGCGCTGCAACGGGAGCACGATTCGGAACGAGCGGAAGCGCGGAAATGAGGCCAGCGCTGCAGCGGGAGCACGATTCGGAACGAGCGGAAGCCCGAAAATGAGACCAGCGCTTCAGCGGGAGCAGAATTTTGAAGCAAGAAACCAAGCGAAAACCCAATTCGGGGGAGTGCGCGGAGGGGGGCCGAACATCTTCCCGACGTCGGCTACAGGAGCAGCGGCGAGATGCCAGCAGCGGCTCCGATGGGCAGGTGCATCCACTACTCGACCCTGGAGTCACTGTGGAGAGCCAGGGCCAGGGGATGGAGCGCCAGGATCCAAGACATGCTGCTGCACTGGACAAGCCTGCGTTCGTCGGCCAGGTGGGGATCGCTTCCAAACACATGAAGGACACGGACAACATGTTGGTGGTCGTACAGCGCTGGGCCGAACAGCTCGATGACGGCAAGTGGAACGAGAAGCTCAAGCAGGACGCGACCAAGCTGCTCAATGACACGGAGAGTAGTATTCATATGGTGTAATTGTAGGAGGGGGAGGAGGAGGAGGAAAAGGAGGAGGAGGAGGAGAAGGAGGAGGAGGAGGAGGAGGGAAGCAGGGCGATCTTCGATCGGCGAGCTGGTGCCCCACATGGTCCTGCGCTCGCTCTCTCCTCTGGCCAGGGCGCCGGACGGCGCGACGGAGGGGAGGGGCGCAGCGGAGCAGGTCGGGGCGGCGGCGGCGGTGGGTCCCCTGGCGCCCTCGCGGCCGCGAGAGGCCCTGGACCTCGTCAAGTCGATGAAGGCTGGCGGCAGGGCGGCGTCCGTCGAAGAGGAGGAGGAGGAGGAGGAGGAGGAGGAGGAGGAGGAGGAGGAGGAGGAGGAGGAGGGAGAAAGAGGATGAGGAAGAGGAAGAGAAGAGGAAAGGGGGGAGGGGGAGAGGGGGAGGGGGGGGCGATGGAGGAGAGGAGGAGGAGGAGGAGGAGGAGGAGGAGGAGGAGGAGGAAGGAGAGGAGTGAGAGGCGGGGGAGGCGGACGAGGTGGAGGGCGGAGAAGGCGGAGGAGGGAGGAAGGAGTAGGGATGAGGGAGGAGGGAGGAGGGAGGAGAAGAACAAGGAGGCGGAGGAGGAGGAGGAGCAGGAGGAGCAGGGTGAGCAGAAGGAGGAGGAGGAGGAGGAGGAGGAGAAGGAGAAGGAGGAGGAGGAGGAGGAGGAGAGAGGAACAGAAGGAGGAGGAGGAGGAGGACGATGACGAGGAGGAGGAGGAGGAGGAGGGAGAAGGTGACAGGCCATCCGCCTGGCGTCAGGAGAGAAGGCGGTGGAGCCTGCAGCCTCCCCTCCCCCCCCCAAGCGGCATTGGAGGCGTTGTGTGAAGGAGGAGGGGGAAGAGAGTGAAGCAGGAGAAGGAAGAGCAGGAGAAGGGAGGGAAGAGGGGGGAAGAGGCATGGGGGAAGGAGAGGAAGAGGGAAGGTGGGGAAGGAGAAGGGAGAGAGGGGGGAGCAAGCGAAGCGAGCAAGCGAAGGGAGGAAAAAGGGGGAAGAGCAGGAGAAGGTGGAGGGTCTAGGTGTGGGGGGAGACGTTCTGGAGCTGCTCCGGGTTTCCAGAGGCGCAGCATCTGTGGACCTCCAGAGACTTCGGGGAAGCCCAACGATCCAGAGATACCCCCGGGGACGGTGAAGAAGGGCAAAGGCCTGGCGGCGGCTCGCGTGCTTGCGCGGCGATGCGGGCCCTTTTCCCTAAGCTGCTCACCCCGTGTTGAGCAGGGGAAGCACGGGGGGGGGGCACCAGGCCACGTGTGCTGTCTAGGGCTCTGGAGCCCCTGGGTGCCCCTGGGCTTTCCAGGGGGCCCCTGCAGACGCCCCGGGCCTTTCAGAGATGGGGTGGGCAGCGCCACGCGGCGCGGCCACCCGAGCGGGTGGGGGGAGGTGTTTTTCCATCTCTTCCTCCTCCTCCTCCTCATCATCATCATCATCACCATCACCATCACCATCACCATCATCATCATCAGCATCATCATCATCATCATCATCATCATCATCATCATCATCATCATCATCATCATCATCATCACCACCACGGCACCTGTGCCACTGGGTCCCCTTCCCAGGAAAACAGGCGGGTAGCAGCCCGATCGTCACCCTTGTTTGCCCGTAGGGGCCAAGGGGAGAGAAAATTGCTCTCGTCGCCAGCGACCACCTATGGAGAAGGTGGTGGGTAGGTTGGGCGTCGGAGCACGGCTCCGGCGCCCCCTACCCCGAACAGGGAGCGCGGAGCACGGTCTCCTTGCGTTCCCTGTTCGCGCATTGAGCGCGCCACGGGGGCATGGCACTGGACCGTTGGCGCTGCTCTTGACGCCCGTCGGGCGAGTCTCCTGGTCCTGGCCACGGGGGCATGGCCCTGACGTGTGGCCCGCATCTCGGTGCGGGCAGCACCGCATGTATGACCAGTCCTGTTTGGTGTTCGTCTGTTTCAAGTGCCGTGTTCGACGGCTGCCAGGCTGGCTGCCAGGAGGACCGCGAAGATTCGGGGCAGAGCAACGCAGCGGCAATCCTCATCACCATCATCATCATCGTCATTCTCTTCCTCCGTACCCCTCTCCGCATCACCACCCTCGTAGGACTACGAAAACCTGCAACCCTGCAACCCTCTAGAACACGCTGCCAAAAAAAATACAATCATCCTCATCATTCCTGGTTCTCTGTGCTCCTGCACTTGATGGGCGTAATTCACGTGGTGCTATTAACCAAGTGGAGATTGAAGCCGTCATCTCCAATGCTCGCGCAAATATCCCACCCTCCCACCCGCAACTTGGTTGGTAACGCCCATTCGGCCGCGACCGCAGTTCCCCAGTGGAGCGCGCCAGCCCGTCTCTGCAGCCGCGCCAGCGCGCGCACGCTCGCGCGCACAGCGAACAGCTGGTTTGGCACAACCAGCGCGGCCGAGACTGCGCTTGCCAATCAGAAGCCCCGAGCTTGCGCGGGGGCACTTCGGTGCGGGTCGGTGACTCGGGCGCGCACGATGTAGAGGTGACGCCGACAACGGCGACAACTATGATGATGATGATGATGAGGAGGAGGAGGAGGGGGATGAGGATGAGGATGGGGATGAGGATGACGAAAAGGATGATGATGATGATGCTGATGATGATGATGATGGTGGTGATGATGGTGGTGGTGGTGATGATGACAATCATGACGCTTACGATGGCGATGGTGATGATAGGGAAAAGGATGATGATGGTGGGATGATGATGTTGTCGGTGATAATGGTGCTGGTAATGGTTATGTTCACGATGGTGATGATGGTGGTGATGGTGATGATGATGCGGAAGGTGGTGCGAATGATGATGATGATGATGATGACGTTGATGTTGATGATGGCGATGGTGATGGCGATGTTGGTGGTGGTGATGGTGATGATGGTGATGTGATGGTGATGGCGGTGATTATGATGATGATGGTGATGATAATGACGGCGACGGTGGTAACGATGGTGGTGGCGATGATGGCAATGGCGACGGCAGGGCCAGTGACGGCGCCGATGATGGTGACGACTATAATGAGGATGATGATGATAATGATGATGATGATGTTGTCTATGTGTCGGCGGCGAAGGTCGTTGAAATGACGATGGCGGCAATCGTGGCGATTGGCGGCAACGATAAAGGCAGCGATGCGATGGCGCTGGTTAGGTCGGTGCGGAAGTGCGCGCGCAGATATGCAACATGTATGGCAATATCTATGGCAGGCAGCACTTGGATGTTCCTATGCGTTTGAAGAGCTCTATCTTGAACTGCTGTGAACACCCATCGTTGCAGAAGGATTTCGGCACGCGCGCGTGGCGGCGCGCGCGTGTGGCCGTCATCAAATGATGCGGCACGGAGCCCTGCCCTGGGCGCATGCTAGATCAACGCGGGTGCACTGCGCGGTGAGGTGAAAATGCGGGCGTGAGACGACATTTCAAAAGTCCTAAAATACGCGTGGACAGAAGCGTTGTGATAGTTCACTTGAAATGCCAACGGTGGTTCAGGCTGTCATCCTGTTTGGTATGGATTCGCCGTGTGCGCGTGCGTGTTGACTTCATTGTGGCTTGCGCACGGTTTTTAGCATAAGTAATTCTTAGATCAATGCGTGCGCACCGTACAGCAGTTGCTCCCAACCCTCCTGTGTCGGCTTTCGTTTTAGACAGTGCACTGTGGTCTCTAGGTCCTTCTCCCGCATCCCTTCTCCTCTCCATCCTCTTCTATATAGCCTCCCACGTCCAGCCCGTTTTCTACATGTTCCCCCCATCCTCTTGCGTGGCGCTTTCGTCTTTCGGAAAGCAAGCGCGTAAAACACTGCGGTCTCCGTCCTCCTGCCTGCCTCCCTCGGAGGGGCCGCCGTCGGCGGTCTGGGGAATGGCCATAGCAAAGCGGGCGCTTACCTTGCAACCCTGGCCCGTCCCTCCGGAGCGAGAGCGTGCGGAGCGCAGTCTGCACGCGAGAGAAAGATCATCCTTTTCATTATTCTTCTCGTTGTGCTTATTGTGCGTCTTGCCCCACACATCCAGATCTCATATTCTCGTCGCTGCCTCCCTCGCCGGTTAGCTTGCCTCCTGCGGTCTCCGTCCTCCTTCCTTGGAGGAAAAAGAGCCATGCACATACACCGATTTGGGCCAGGTCCGTCCTGAGCCCAAGATCGGTGCATACGCCCTCCTGCCTTGGCCAGGGAGGCATATGCACCGATCCTGGGGCCAGGGATGGGCCTGGCCAGGACCAGTGCATGTGCATAGTTCTCTTCGCCCGATTCCTGCCTCCCTCGCCGGTTAGCTTGCCTCCTGCCTCGCTGCCCCGCGTGACCTCGCCATCCCCTGGGGGGGGGTGCGAAGCGCGAGACTGCCGCCTCCCTTCCTGCGGGAGGGAGGGAGGGAGGGAGGGAGAGGGAGAGGGAGAGGGAGGGGGAGGGAGAGGGGGAGGGAGGAGGGAGGGAGGGAGAGGGGGAGGAGGGAGAGGGGGAGTGAGTGGAGAGGGAGGGAGGGAGGGAGGGGGAGGGAGAGGGGAGTGAGGGAGAGGGGGAGGGAGAGGGGGAGTGAGCGGGAGGGAGGGGAGGAGGAAGGGAGAGGGGGAGGGGGAGGAGGGAGGGGAGGGGGAGGGGGAGGGAGGGAGGGAGGGGGGAGGGAGGGGAGGGGGACGGGGAGGGGGAGGGGGACTCTGATGACGGTCGGGACGTTGGGCTTCGCGTGTCGCCCCGCCGCCTGTGGCGCACAAGCGTCCACGTCCCGAGCCTTTTCTCGAGCAGTGGCGACGCGTCCTGGCACGCCTACATCGCCGTGACGAAAGTTTCTTTCAATTTGCCTTTTGGAACGACGCGCTCGTGCGGAGTAGTTCGGAGTAGTAGTTCGGAGTAGTTTTTAGGAATCTTGAGAGGGATGGGAGAGATCTTCATCATAGCAAGTTGAAGGAACTTTTGTCACGGCTGCGTATAGGCCTACCAAAGAATGTTCTAAGAACCTTTTGTGGTCTGCGCGGCATGCTCTTCTAACATGTCTGGCTGGGACCGTCGTGTTTTTATTAACGCATCTGGCTTGTGTTCGAAAAGCTTGGTTTTCGTTCGTCAAACCTTTTGGGGTTCTGAGAAAATTTCGTGGTAGGCCTATAGATATGCCGGGCAGGTCGGTCCATGCTCAACTTTCCCGCCATCGCTGGGCGGCTGCGAACTGCAAAATTGTCGCCACTTTCGAGGGCTATTGGGGGGGGTCCAGCGGAGTGGCGCCCCGCCGCGGATTCAGATTGGATCTCGCCATCGCTGGGCAGCTGCGAACTGCAAAACTGTCGCCACTTTCGAGGGCTGCTGGTGGGCTCAGTGGAGTGACGCCCCGCCGCGGATTCAGATAAGACCTCGTTCTCCCTGGGGTCTGCGAATTGCGAAACTGACAACACTTTGGTGGGCTGCTGGGGTGTCCTACACCGTGACGCCTTACCGCGGACTCCCGTTAGTCCTCGCCACTCCTGAAGGGCTGCGAATTGCGAAACGGTCGCCGCTTTCGAGGGCTGCTGGGGGGTCCAGCGGAATGACGCCCCGCTGCAGATTCAGATTCGACCTCGCCATCGTTGGGGGGGGCCTGCGGTCGTTCAGTTCCAGCACCGAAAGGTGCTGGAAGGAAGCGGGGAGGCTGGCGGGCGAGCTGTGCCTCGCTCTCTTCCTGCACGAGTGTTGAGCAGCTCTGCATTGGGGGCGCCAGGGCCACATGGCGTGGGTTGCGCTGCTTACCAGGGAGCCATTGGAAACATGGCCACTCTCCTTTCTCATCCCTCCTCCCTCGTTGTCGCCCTCTTCCTCCTTCCTCCGTCTCCCTGCTGCTACTGCGCTGACTTCTCGCCCCCCCCCCTTCAGTCCTTCTCCTGCCTCTCGTTCCCACACCTTCCTCTTCGAGCCGATTGCCCAATTTTTCGTCCACCTACTACTGTCCTGTAAGTCGCGCGACGCGCGCGTATCCCATGGAGCTTGTATAACAAGTGGCGGTTCCTGCATTGTCGTTATCCATACATGCTTGGGCCAAGAGCTCTGATCATTTGATGCGAATGGGTTGGATACGTCGCAGGGTAATGTGCAGGACTTAGCGGGGGGGTCGATACTGGCCCGGCTCGGACGGTATGATTTGTATCCGAAGTTGAACGACGAGGCAGAGTCCGATGCACATTGCAAGCGCGGCTCTGTCTGAGCCTTGCAGCCGTCCTGCGGTCTCGGACAACAAGAAAAGAGCAACGAAACAGTCCGAACGATGGGGGCATCCTGAAACGCCAGCCAGCGCACGAGGCGGCCTCGAAGCGGCCGCGGGCGGCCACCAAGCGAAAAGCTCGGACACGCCAGCCAGCGCGCGGGGCGGTCACGAGGAGGCCGCGGGCGACCACCCGGCGGAGGCCCGAGCAGGCCCAGCCGGCGCACGGCGTTGACGAGAGGCCGCCACCAGGCGCAGAGCCTGAAGCGCCGGTCCGCGCACGGGGCGGCCTCGAGGCGGTCGTGAGCGACCGCCAGGCGGCCGCGCAGACACGCCCGCCAGGGCGCGGGGCGGCCGCCAGGCGGCCACCCGGCGGCCACCGGGCGGCCAGCCCGCGCACGGAGCGGCCACGAGGCAGCCGCCCGGCGGCCATCTGGCGGGGGGGGGGCCCGGAGACGCCGGCGCCAGCGCACGGGGCGGCCACGAGCGCGCCCGTTGGCAGCCACCGTCCGGGCACCCGAAGAATGACGCACCGGCCAGGTGTCGAGACGCAAGCGAGAGGCCCTGGTGCAAGCAGTGTCTGGGGAGTCGTAGGGCACGCTCGAGCCCTCCTTCTGCATCGTCGCTCCTCCTCCTCCGCCTCCTCCTCCACCGCCTTCTCAGCATCAGCGTCATGCGGCGAGGACAGGTCGGGTACAGCAGCATCGTGCACGATGCCCGGGAAGAAGTCAACGCATTCTGGAACAAGGATTTTACTGTACCAGTCCATGTTGCGACAGATTGGTGTCGACACCATCATCGAGAATACAATTCAGCAGCGGGCAGTTCGACAGGACCGGGAATAGAATTGAGGACCCGAAGGATGACGCACAGATCCGGACCTGTGAGTGTTCGAAGACATTGCGTAAGAATTGCGCACTTTATCCTACGGGGCCAGAAAAGTGGTGGCATTCCTTGTGGCTGGAAACTTTGGGCTGCATTTCACCACGGCGGGGTCTCTTTTGAGGACTTGTATTGGGATCTTGTGGCCGAAGCTGGAACTTATCTCGGGATGGGAGGCGTCACGAATGCAGAAAGATGCGGATGCCATGATATGATGGTTACTTTGTACACGGTTCTTCAGGACAGCCGAACACATTTCTCGAAATCAGACCGATAGATCCTAAGAAGCGTCTCGCACCGCCGCAGCAAAGACGTTCTGACTTGTATGCCGCTTCTGGAACCAGGCGGTAGCCGGTGAAACAAGTGGCACGCATGCCCTGGCTCTTGCACGAGGGAGCGGCGAGGGAAAGGAGGAGGGTGGGGCCAGGGACATGGAAGTCAGGGGGGTCCGAGATCGATGACGAAAGTATGGAGATCCGACGCACTTGGGGGGGAGGCGAGCAAGGGGAGGCCAGTGAGGCTGGAGGCTTGGGCCACCACGCAGGCCTGGGAGGCCAGAGGCCCGGGAAGCCACGACAGCACGGCGACGCGACACAACGGCGCGGCACGCAGGCGAATGTGATGCTCTCCTATGTGGCGCCGCCTTTGGAAGGCGAGCTGTGGGCGGGAGGCGAATGGGTACATCGAAAGTGGTGTCTAGGGCGAGAAATTCTCCGCGGGAGGGCAACGGGTACATAGGGTCCGATGCTACGTGCTCGTGAGCTCTCCGCTCGAATAGTGGGCAAGCGTAATAGCCTCGCCCTCGAAAGTGGTGTCAGCCGCGCCTTGGTGTCAGCTTCCCCGAGTTGGCTTGGCCAGATTTTGAAATACGTGTCGGAGGATGGTTCCATGTCTGCCAAGGCGTGGATTCTCGGTGAGAGCGACTGGGATGATGTGCTGCACTGCCTATGTGGCCTCCTTCTCTTTGTGCTGATGGTGGCCCTCGTCCTGCGGCCCTTCGAATCGTAAGATGAACCCTCTTGAAGACCCATGGCTCCAAGTGTGATTTCGACGAGTAGGACTCGTTCTCTCTGTGGGAGATTTGTCGTCGGGTTGCCTGGCCGCTGGACCCATTAGTGGGTCGCTTCGTGACCGGGACGGAAGGGACATACGTCGGCCGTCACGGGGTTGTCGTGCCGGTGGCCGGTGAGGCTGAAGTTGCGCTGGGCATTTACCCTGATGGCGTGCATATCCGAGCGAGTGCCCGCGACGTGCGGGAGATTTCGGACCCTCCACCACGCCGCAGTGGGAGGTCATGACAGTGGGGCGATCAGTTTTTGTTTTTCGAAGCTGATCGCATGGAGGGAGGGTCGAGAAGCGATTCGACGAGGGGCTGTTGACGTGCCAGTTCGGTGGCCCCGTGGAGGCTGAAAATAACTAACTCGTCCTGCCCCTCCCATTTATCCTCCTTATCCTCTTCATGCCTGTCCTCCTTTCGTCCCGTCTCCTCACAGACATCTCCTCGTCGCACCAGCAGATGCATCCGTAGGGCGGGCCAGGTTCTCCGCCTGCGACTCCCCCACCGCCCGTGATCTTGAAGATTGAAGGGTCGAACACGTGCACGGGTGGCGGGCGAGCGGTCTTCTTACAAGTGCTTATCGTTGATGCCACGTGCAAGCATGCGTCGAAACCACGTACATGTTTGCATGGATGTAGGGCGATGTGTTTTGAACATGCGGCGATCGCTTCCACGCCACGAGTGTTCGTCCGCAGCGGTCCACGCAGCTTTGGGGATGGAGGGCGGGTGGTTATCAAAAGGCAGGGACCGCTGTTTTGTTCCGAATATCTTCGTCTTTACAACAACTACCAAGATGGAGGTGGTTCGTTTTGAAGACGTGGTTTTGCCCCCAGCGCCGCGCATATGTGTTTCAAACGTGTCCACCAGCTGCAACGATAGAGGTCGATTCCTTTTCCAGACTGTTACTTTTGCTTCGCACGTTTCGTCTCAAACGTTTGACCACAAATATAGCAACGAACACGCCTGGATGACTGGCCCATGAGGCGTTCGTCTTTACGGGGGCGCTTCCCACCGTGAGACGGGATGGTTACAGGGATTGATGAGGAGAGAACTTGGGACGGGAGGGTGTATTGCAGCATCGTTGGCGCATCGCGTGTTCATTCTGGTCCTCCTCTTCCTCTTCGTCCTCAAAGCTCATGGAGCTCCCCGAATGCCCAATGAGGACCGACAGCGTCCAGAAACCTCCGCGCCGGCCCCCCCAGGCGTGCCGACCCGCTGTGGCGTTCACACCGCCCCAGATTATCCAGGGGGCTTCAGCCTTTGGAGCTTCGCGGCGGTTCTCCATCTCCTCCCTCAAAAAAAAAACTATTCGGGGGGCTTGCTGAGGCCAGCTAGAGCTACCTCTGGGAGCAGTCTTGTGCGCAGCCCGAACCCCTTGCCGAGGGGTACTACATCAAGGCGGCGCAGACCCTCTGCGGCGCCGGCCAGTTCCCGGCAGAGTTCGACGAGAAGTTCGGCGAGCTGCTAGACCAGTGCCCGAGGGAGCCCTACGAGGCGAGGCCGACGCGCTCCGCCTCGCCCCCGTTGTCTTCGTCGTTTCGTTGCTCGTTGCCGTCGCCGTCGTAGGCATCGGGAAGGGCAGGGACGAGGATACAGTGCCGCTTTTTAATACATGCTCCGCGTGCGGATCTGTATTAAAAATGCAGGGATGTAGTATTAAAAACAGCGATGAGTTCATGCACGAATTCATCCATCAACGAACCGCGTATTACTCTTTGTTATATACGTATTATTAAGAATATATTAAAGATTGCCCTGTAAAGAGGTGAGATGGGGCAACGGCAAAGGTTCCACCGCGGCAGCAGGCACGGCGATGGATAGGGGCGGCCGTCCCGGTACTTTTTCGAGCGGGCCGGTCGGGCGTGCGCGCGCGCCGCGCCGTTCCCAGGCTCGCTCGGACCGAACCTCCGCCGACCGCCACTCTCTGGATTTTCCTGGCGAAGCCGAAAGAACGAATCGGACCACATGTGGGCCGCCAGGCGATTGGGGTATTTTTGCTGCGACGGGGGGACAACACCTGGGCAATCGTCTTTGAGTTTGGCCCGCAGAGCCCGGCCGGAACACCCGCAAGACAAGTAGAAACACACCATCAACCCAGAGTGAAGCTGCAAACTATGGCTACCGTGGACCCACCCCCACCCAGATGCATGCGAGCCCCCATGGGGAAGGAAAACAAAGTGTTCCTGGGCGTTTTTAGTTCACAGCAGGGGTCGCGTGGCCATTCAGTTAATTCACTTGCTAAGAGTGGCCGGGCCCCCGCAGACAGCGCAAACCCTACCATTTTCCGCTGGACAGTGGAGGGTGGTGAACACAGAGGTTTGCTGGAGCTTGGAGGAGGAGGAGGAGAAGAAGGAGGAGGCAAGACTTGTCTTACCAACACTATGGTCGTATTGGGACCTATGTCCAGTGAGCGCGCTGCTGAAGAGAAGGAAGAGGATGCGGTACTTGCCCGCACGTTGCGGAGCAAAGGGCGTTATGCTAAATCCACCCAACACCCCCCATCCCCCCCAGTAGGTCCATTCCTGAGGGTGCCGCGGATGCCAATCGATTTAACACGACGGTGCCGCGAGGTACGTGTAGGGCGGTGGTTTTCGAAATTGGCCCCATCCCCAACAGTTTTCGCGTTTTTCCCTCTCAACGCCTGGCACCGAGTACATTGTCAGTTTGTGTGCTGGCCGAGGTGTTAAGGGCAATATTCAGGATCATTTGGGGCGTTCCAGATTGATTATTGGGAGAGATGTGAGCACAGCGGCTATGCTAGTAGAAGGAAATGATCTGCAGTTTTCTCGGACCGACCCCGCCTCGCGCTGCGTGCGGGGCGTGCCCGCGGTTGATACGTGGAGGGCCCGCGGCCAGAGCGCGGGCGGTTCACGAGCCTGCCCCTGGCCCGCCCAGGGGCCAGTCCCACCGACGAGGAGGCCGCACCCGAGGCAACGGAGGACCCAGAGGGGACTCCTCGGGTCGTCATCCCAGACAGCACCCATCGCGGGCCGCCAGGAGGGGCGGCAGGTGCCGAACCTGTGGTTGGGGCCGCCCCTGCCGCTGGCAGCAATTGCTACGCGATCCGAGCCGCCCCGGGTTCAAGCGAGGACTTCATCTGGGTGCACAGAGGAGGCGCGGTCGCGCGGCAGGCGATCGTCGCCAGACACGGAGACGGCAAGTACACTAGCGGGCGGGATCGTCTGCGTCGGGGCCCGTTCTTGGGCGAGCCGATCGACATGTTCCTCGACGAGCAGCGGGACTATTCATACACTGTCAAAGTCTTCGACTGGACCGGGGCACAATGACGACGTTGCCATCTGGGGCGCTGCAACAGACCAGGGACGTCCTGCTCCGCTCGCGGCTGCTCGATGTGCCCATCGCCGGGGCCCGCGCCGCCGGCGCAGCAGCGAGGTGCGAGGCCCGGGTCGTCGGCGCAAAGTTCGCGCGGTTCGATGGCCCCGTCGCCGTCGACGCCCTGACGCACGACGACTTCAGCGACATCGAGGTGGAGGAGCTCCTCATCGTGGTGCCTGCCGTCTGCCTCCCCTTCCACGCCGGCTCGCTCGCCTCCGCAGACTGTGTCTCGGCGACGCTGTGGTCGGCCCTGGGCGAGGAGATGCCAGCAGACGCGGCCAGCACGAACGTCTCGCTGGCGTTCCTGGCGCGACTCACCGAGAGCTGCGCGGAGGACGAGGCGATCGAGTTCTTCGACTCAGCCTGCTCGAGCCGGCCGATCTCGCCCGACGATTGCTTCATCGGGATCTTGCTCCGACCCAGGGCGCGCCGGTTTCCAGCTCCGCGTCGACGGGCAGATCAGCGGGGAGAGGTACTTCGCCAGCGACGAGCGCGACGGCGAGGGCATGGGAGGCGACGAGATCGACGCAGCCCGCGAGGCCGTGGCGCAGGAGTGGGCAGGTCGGCTGCGCGGCGCCCACGCGGCGGGCAGCCCCGACGCGGGGGGAGGGCCCCTGGCGGGCCCGCCCTTGGCCCCGCCCGCCAGGCGACCCCCTCAACGGGCGACGCCGCCGTTGGCCGAGGGGCCAGTGGCGAGCAGCGCCAAGAGAGCCGCAACCCTTCGGCGCGCCAGCGTGTCGCGAAACGATCTACAGAGCGCCCTCGCGAGCTTCCGACCCGACCCACCGGAGACCATCGGCGGCCAACTGAAGGGCCATTCGAGCCGAATCGAGGACGTCGAGAAGAGAAGCATGAAGGCCCGCGGCCTCGCTTCTGCGGGGGCCCCCCTGCCGTTCGGGGGTCACTCCCCCAGGCGGGGCCCTCAGCGAGCGCGCTTGCGCCTGCCCCTTGCCCCGAGCAGATCCCCCTTCCAGACCTCGCCCGCTGCGCCGCCCAGGACAGCGGCCCCGCCCCTGGGAGCGCGGCCCGCGCCCGCGCCCCCCCAGTCAAGGTGGCAGAGGAGGCCCTAGCGATGGCGCGGGGGCCGCCCCAGCGGGCCGACGGGCCCCCCCGCGCGAGCAGGCCAGCCGCGCGGCTCCAGAGAGGAGGGCCGACCTCGACCTCAGGGCCGTCGTCGAGGCAGGCGGCCGCGACGCCAACGAGGCCATCCAGCTTGCGGCGCTGCGGGCACTGGGGAATGTCAGCGGCGGCTCCACGATGGCGGCGGAGGACGGGCCCACAACGGGCGACCTCCTCTTCGGGGGCGCAGCCTCGAGCTCTGGAGAGGCGGGCCCAGTGGCCGGGGTCAACGCGCCGAGGAGGCAGCGGGGCCCCCGGCGCTCAACAGGGCCATCGAGCGCGAACCGCAGAAGTGGTCTGCCCACGTCGACGCCGCGGTCTTCACCGAGTTCGGCTGCGACACAGCAGGCACGCTGTGAAGCACGACGCCCCACGGCAGGCAGAGGACCAGATTCGGGCGCCTCTATGACCACGAGCGCTTCTGGGAGAGGCCTGATTGCGTCTCTTCACGCGCTGCACAGGTCGCAGCAGCGCGACCTCCTCGGTGCCCGGATCGGCCAGCTCCTGACGGCAACGCAGCAGTCAGCGAATCTGAAAGGCCCGTGGAGGCTGGCCCAGCTGATCACAGGGCCCCCAGACCCTCGGCCCAGAGCAGGTCAGGCGACGAGAGGCCTCGCGCACCCCGCGGAGTTCGCAGCGTCGGAGACCGCCCTCAAGACAGGGGGCGGGGACGCCGCCGAGGACCACGCTGGCAAGGACTGCGCCTGGGACAAGAAGTCGAGCAAGTGGACCAACAAGAAGGAGCAGGACGGCGGCGGGGGCGGCGAGGGAGGCGAGCTGTCGTCTCCAGATGGGCTCGACAGCTTAGAGAAACACCGAGGGTAGGCCAGGCCAGGAGCTGGGCCTTTACCGTCTTCACCTACGGCTCCGACGTCGCATGCCACCGTTGATTCGGTGACATGCGTTCTTTTTGCATCTGGCCTGCCGACCTCGTTCTGCACCTTCCACGAGGCGGGGGTCCCCACATTCACCCCGACGGGGCATGCTGCCCCCCAGCTATGTCAGGAGCTGCACGCGCCCTGTGGGCTCCCCTACGAGCGGCGCGGGATTGGAGCTGCGCCACGGTCGCCACAACAACGTGCGCGGTGGCTTCGGGAGAGACGCCGGCGGTGGTGGGCCAACGCGCCCGTCGCCGATCTCTCTCCTGGCTCTAGCTCCGGCGCCCCGGAGGTGGGTCGACAGCGTCCTGTCTCACTGCGCCTCTGACCGAGACGCAGCTGGTGCGCCAGCTTGATGACAAGTAGTATTATGGTTGCTGCCGCGTCGAGGAGTCAATGCCACTCCTGACTGGCGGCTTCGCCGGCGCCCATCGGGCCACGACGGGGCCCATAGGCGATTCGCAGTTGGGAGGCCGCGCGCAGTCTGTGGAACCTCTCACCCTCCCCGCAGAGGACTTCAGCGCCCCGCCCAGTCGCGCGACGATCTTGCTCCAGAGGCCAGTCGCGCCGCCTGGGCACGGCTGCATCTCCCGCGCGCCCCGCGTCTTGGACTTCGAGGCAAGTCACCTTCCCAGTCAGCTGCCCCCCGCGCGCTCGCGCGTGGACCACTGGGCCGCGGCGGCAGCACATGCATGGGATGCTCGGTTTTCAAGGCTCGCGCTCTCGGAGAGCCCCCAGCTGCGCGCGGGCGCCCCCGCCCGCGCCCGGCCTTTCGGCGCGAAGAAGGGCGGCCACAGGCCGAGGTTGGCCATTGACAGGCGTCGCCGCCATTCGCTCGGGCGGTCTCGGAGAGAGGTCTTCCGCGAGCATGCTTTCGCCGCTGAGCTCCCCAGCAGTCGACGCGCCAACCTCGAGCTTCTCGCAGCCCTGCCCCATGCCTCGCAATTCACGGAGCCGTTTCTCCCGAAGGGCGGATCCTTGTCGATCTCCACGGGCGACGCCGAGGATATCTACTTCCTGCAGCGGCCGGGCGCCAGGGTCGAGGGCGCCACCATTGGCTTCGACCTCAGGGCCAGCGAGCTGATGGGCCAGGGGGCCTCCTACGAGGTGGACTACCCCGCCGGCGCGGTCATGACAGGATCGCGCTCGCGCTGGCCCTGGCAGCTCCTGCCTCGGGGAACGAGAAGGCCCTGGAGGCGGCCCAGATCGCGCATCAACATTGCTTGCGATGCACCTGGCGTCTCCGTGACGGGGGGGGCCATATACGGCCCTGCCCCCCCCCCCCCCCCCCCCCCATCCCTGGGCCGAATCGCGGGAGGCGCCCGCTCGGACGACCGCGTCGCCATCGGCATCTGCGATGGCCCTGACGCCCCGGGCCCCGTGCGACGGGCAGCTCTTCAGCGGGCCCAGCAAGGGCGCCACGCTCGCGATCGCGCGGGCTTCGGGAGAATGGGCGAGATGGCGCCCCTGGACCAGCCCAACGGAGTCGCCCGGGGGGAGATCCCCCAGGCGCGTCTCGACGCGGGCGGGGAGGCTGTGAAAGTCAAGCAGCTCGGGATAACCACCACGTGCATCATCCTCGTCGGGGCCGCATCGGTCGCTCTCGCGAGGAGGCCTGTCGGGTGCTAGGTGCGCCATCTGATGCTTCGCAGGGCCGCCATGTCTCGTGGGCAAAATCTACGCGTGGCTTCACGTGCCCAGCGTGGACCCCACGGCATGGCGCGGGCTGCCGAATCCAGTGATCGACGAGCCTATAGGGTTGTCCCCTTGCTCCTTTGTGCAAGAGTTCGCTCGACTCCACGGTGGCGGAACAGATTTTCACCTCGGACGCCGCCCTCTTCGTAGGCGGAGTCGCGTCGGCCCGGTTCAACGCGGAGGAGGCGGTCTGGCGTTGGGCGCGGGCGCCTCGACAGACAGGCGCGGCGAGGCTCGAATCTTCTGGGCCCCCAGATCACGAGGGGCCTCTCGAGGTCCTGGGGAGCGGGGCCCAGGGTGGCTTCCAGCTCCACTCCTGGAGAGTGTCCAAAGTGTTTACCCCCCCGCTGCACCGTAGGTCATCGGGCCGAGGTCGCACCGACGCTCGAGGGGCCGCCGCCCTGGGATCGCTGGTCAAGCGCGCGGTCAAGGACCCAAACATGCGTGGCAAACGTATCCTACAACCCTCGTCAAAAATAAACTGAGGGATTCTGTTTTCGGTGATTGCATGGTCAGCGCTACTCCAATGCTGACGCTAGATATCTGACGTGGACGCAAGGGCTTCAAAAATCAGACGACCCCTCCGCAGCATTGAAGAACGCAGTTTCTAACAAGTGCCCGAGAAGATCGATCGTCGCGATTTCCAACTGCGTTTCTGTTTATGTATGACGAGGCTTGTAGTGCTCATAGACTCACAGGTTGCACATGGCCGCCGCCCGAGGACGATCGCCCAGCAGGGCCCTCAACAGGATATTCGCCCCGACTCTCCCGCTTTTGCCGCTCCAAGGGCGGCCCCTCCTCTCCATCGGGCGCAGGGACCTACAATCCTGCAGATGACCCAGCAAGAGGCGCCGAGATGCGCGTGGCCAGACCGACCGCTCCCTCCCGAAGCGCCGTAGTCGATTGCCGCCGTCGAGAAGCATTGGAGCTGGGCCGTGAGCGCGCGCCGCCTTGTCCATGGCCGCCGACCGCCCGTCTCCTGCGACGCCGTCAGCGGGCCGAAGGCCCCCCTCAGCGTAGCCCTGGAGCGCCACGGCTGAATCGTCATCAGCCGCGACGTACTGCATGGCCCTCTGGAGGACCTCACGAACCCCGACGTGCTCGCCCAGGAGATTGAGCGCATCATGCGGATCAGGCCGATGGCGGCCGCCCTGGGGCCCCCCTGCAGGGACCTTCTCGCGGTTCATGAACTCGTGCTCGCGGTCTCCTCGGACTCGCCAGCGGCCACGTGGGCCGTGGCAACATCCTAAGGAGACCCTGGGCAACAAGTGCGCGGTGGCCGGGCTGGATCTCGCGAAGGCCCTCGACCGCGCGGGCGCCCTGCGGGCGCGGGGGCAGCCTCAGCGACGTCTTCAGCGGGCGCTTCCCAGCATCAAGTACGAGGGCGGTGTCTGACGGAGATGGCGGCAGAGTACTTCAGCCAGTGGTGCGTCGCGGCGCCCGAGCAGCTCGGCACGCGCTGCCGCTCGCCGCGCTGCTGATGCTCCTGGGGATCTTCTGCAGCTGGTTCGGACTTCTGGGAGAAGGCCCACCCGCGCGCCCGGGCGCAGTCTCGAGGCGCGTGGCTTCGCGGGCCGGGAGGAACCTCCGAGCGACAGTCAAGCCGACCACTGCTCGTCGGCATCTCATCATGCTCGACAGGTGGTGCCCGCGGCCCCAGAGTCGAGGGCTGCCCCGCCCCGACGACGTCGCGCGTCGCCTGAGCTGAGCTGCTCTACGACGCCATGTTCTTCGGGATCCGAGACCCCGGTTGGCGCCCAGTTTCGCCGGCCCCAGACCCGCGGCCAATTGCGCCCAGCCTGGGCCGCGGCGGCTCGCTGGTGCAATGTCGAGCCAGTCGAGGCGCGCACACCCGCGCCTGTCGAGGCGTTCGTGGCACTGGCCGCCGCTGCCCAGGCGCATGGATGGGACAAAACGTCAGCGTGCTTGCCGTTCGCCTTCCACTCGCTGCCGCGGCCCAGCGAGGCCGCGCATGCCCTCGGGCAGCACCTCATCTTGCCCAGGGGCCTGGGAGGCAACATCAACACAGGCTTGCTCGCGCTCCTCTCCGCCAAGACATACGACCGAGGGCCAAAGTTCCAGAGCTCCCTGATCAACGTTCCTACGCTGCTGAACCTAAGGAGTCGCGTCTTTGGCCCCCTCTCGCCGACGGCAGCGCTGCGCCCAGAACAGCCGCGTGGACTGACCTCAACGGCCTCGCTGGCATCAGCGAGTCGCCCTTCACCCTGGGGTCGCCGCGATGGGGCGGGGTCATCCATCGCTTCCGGTCGCTTCAGAACCTGGGGTTGCTACAATACCGCGGGCGCTGGGAGAATGCGAAGTCCATGCGTCACTGTCTCCAGATGGGCGCGGCCGCCCTGCCCTTCGCCCTCGTGCCGTCTGACAGCCGACAGCGCATCCAACAGCTTGCTCAACTCGCACAAGCTGAATGGGGCGCCGGTTGACTGCGTCGCCAAGATGCCCAGGAGGCAAGACACATGTCAGACACGTGGCAACGACGGCGCTAGGTTGGAACAGGTCGAGAGCTCTCTATCTTTGAGGTTCGGCGAGGCCGCGCGGCACAAACAACGCCGCTGCGCTCGACTCCCCCGGCCGCCCTTCGGCCGGCCTTTCCCCGCAAATCTCACACACGGGGTGCGTTGGAAAACGAACGTCGGAGATCACGCGAGCACAGCGGCTACGAAAGTAGAAGTGAATGATGCAGTTTTCTCGCCCTACCCCCCCCCCACCCACCCACACACACAACCACCACCCTCGCGAACGGCGTTTTAAAAACAGGTCGAGAGCTCTCTGCCTCTGGGGTTTTGCGAGGCCGCGCGGCAAAACCAGCGCCCCAGCGCCCCCGGCCGCCCTTTCGGCCAGCCGCTCCTTGCAAATTTCACACATTGGGTGCTTGGGGAAACGAAATCGGAAATCATGTTGATGTTTTGTTGGTGGATCTCGTGGGCCTGCACAGTAAGGGCCACGGCCATTGCTTCGATGACGCTGGTAAGTTCATTGAGAAATTAAGTTTGTCTGCGAGGGCTGCGGGCCTGATGGCCGACCCCCCAGACCTATCGGGACCCCACCACTCGCTGCAGAAAAGGGTGGTTTGCAGGATGCATGTCGAGGAGCCGCGAGGCACCATGGGATATTTCTTCGAGATCGTTGCCCGAATGGGAGCAGCTGTATCTCGACAGCGCGTGCTTGAGGGCGGCACTGACGTTGGCGCGCGCGTCGGCGCTCTCAGGACTGGTGACCTTGACCATTTGGAGCTCCCCTGCTGTGCACGATCACCTACCATGTGTGCGGAATGTTCCTGAGATTAGGCACTCACGTTCGATCTCGGCCGTGTCTCCGTCGCTGTCGTCGAGCGTGATGCCGCGCGGGAGGCGGCAGTGTCTATGTCCCAACGTTGTGCCATTTTATTGCACCACCTGACTACAGCGGGAAATCCTTTTTTTTTTGGCTGCAGCCATGGTTCACTGAATCTCATCACGCCGTGCTTCCATGCCGCTTGGGGGCGCATGGTAAGAAACCGACCCATACGTCCGTGACGCTCGATCCTTCAGGCGAGGGCTGACGTTGGTTGCAGTGCTCTCTCTGTCCTCTCTCGCCGTGCCGCCTATTTCTGCACCGCCCTTGCATGACATGGGCGACACAGACGCGCGTCCCCAGGGCCGTCGGAAGAAGAAGGGCGCAGGACACCAGGCCCAAATCTGCGTTCCAGCGCCCTGCAGGTGATCCGGCCCATCGTGGAGCACGAGCTCGGCTGCGACATCGGCAGCGTCTTCACCGACTTTTCCGAGGAAGCCGTGGCCGCCGCCTCCATTGGCCAGGCGTCCCGCCCCGACCTCGCCCCCGCAGGAGAGCAGGGACCTCCTCCTCCTCCTCCTCCTCCTCCTCCTCCTCCTCCTCATCATCATCATCATCATCAGCAGCATCATCATTACAATCACCAGCATCGTTACCACCATCAGCAACACCATCAGCATCATCATAACAATGATCTTCATCATCATCAGCGTCATCATCATCATCATCATCATCACCACCACCACCATCATCATCATCATCATCATCATCATCATCATCATCATCATCATCATCATCATCATCATCATCATCATCGCCATCGTTATCGTCATAGTCCTCCTCGTATGTTTTCTCCTCCTCCTCCTCCTCCTCCTCCTCCTCCTCCTCCTCCTCCTCCTCCTCCTCCCCCTCCTGGGCCCAAGGGACTCAGCATCATGTGCACCAGCTCCTACGATGATTCCAGCGAGCATCGTGCCCAGCAGCTCCCCCCTCTTTCCCGGCCTCGGACGGGGCCAGGACGAGGATCCACCCGCTGCGCTCCGGAACGCTCTCGGAGCGCTCCGGAACGCTCCGAGAAGGCCGCGGCGCCCGAGGCAGCCTCCACAGCCGCCGGCTAGCAGAGCTTCTCGATTCTATCCCCGCTCGAGGTTTGTCCTCGCCTCCCGCGCCGCTGCCCGGGGCCCCGTCTCCCCTGCTCCTCCTCCTCCTCCTCCTCCTCCTCCTCCTCCTCCTCCTCCTCCTCCTCCTCCTCCTCCTCCTCCTCCTCCTCCTCCTCCTCTTGGGTTTCTTGGGTTTCTGGCAAGAGGTGTAGGTCGAGCTAGCTCACCCTACACCAAAGAAAAAGGGGAGCGAGGAGAATCGTCACCCCCGCTCCTGGCGCCACGGACGCGCCCGCGCCTGCGCGTCCACCGCCACAAGCGTGCCGAACTTCGGTGGCACGATGAAGCGGGACGGGCGACGCTCGATCTCCCCCCCCCTCAGCAGCACTCCCTCACCACCACTCCAGGATGCTGGAACTTCCCAGCTCTGAGCTCCCTGCTGCAGGGAGAACGTGGCGTAGGATGGGGCTCATGGGCTCTCCCATCCTAGAACGTCGTTGTTAACTCCACCGCCTCCACACCTCTCAACTCCACACCCACCCCCATCCACTAGTCCAGCACTGGCCTGAGAACAATTCACTACCCAGCCGCTAGGACCACAGAGTGGGGAGGAGGGGAGGAAAGGAGGATGATGTGTGAGACGAGGGAGGGGCGGGGAAATGGTGGCCAATGACTAGAGGGTGCCACTGCGTAGGGCAGCCTCTAGACCCTCGAGCCTGTCTAAAAGCATCAGGCGGGTGTCGTTGGCCACATCAATGTGGGCGTTGAGCCTGTACAGAATTCTCTCCGCCTCGGCCAAAGAAGGGTCAGTACCCTCTGGGGGCGGGTCCTCGCCTCTGAGGCGGTCTATGTTCTGAGAAGCCTCGTGGGCCTGGTGGACCAGGCCAGCCAACATACGCAAGACTGCAGAAAGCTCCCTGTGGGCTTTCTTTAGGCCCTCATTCAGGCGTCTCAGAACTGCCTCCGCCTCACGGAGCTCTGCATCCTTGCCGACTGGGGGGTCCTGGATGCGACTTCCATCGGCCGAGCCTGCGCTCATCCTTTTGGTGGGGCGCGGGCCGATGCAAAGGGCCTGAGGGGCACGAGGCTGCGGGGGGGACGGAGTGACGGTGGCGGGGGACCGCCCCGAGGGGAGGGGGTGGGTGAGAACTCCTCCTCCGCTCCGCCACTCCTCCTCCTCCAAGGCCTATACGATGGATGGCCTTAAGTACTTCCACGCTGCCTACCTCTTTTCCCAGCACTCGTCTGGGAGTTGGATACTGGCTGCCAGCTGCGGTCCTTTGGCGAGTGCATTCCGCTCCGCCTCTGGCAAATGAGTTCTCCCTCAACTCTTAAAAGGCTGATGACGTGGGCGCCACATCTACAAATGCCGTACTTAACTTGGGCCTCATGGCCTTGTCCTCCTCCACAATTCAGGAACCTTAAGCTATCCACGTCCCCAAACCAGCACTGGCCTGAGAATATTCACAGCCCAGCCTCGGACAGAAGTTGGGAGGGGGAGAGGAGGGCATAGAAAATGAAATTGGGGGAGGAGGGAGGGAGAGAGGAGGGATACTGCACATCGCTTGACTTCGCCTCTTACATCACAAACAGAATCAGATAAACCTGCCCAGTGCATTCCTGAGGAGAAAACGGCCAAGTTAAGGCGGCCGAAGAAACCAAAAATGGCAAGATATCCGCAGCAGTGCACTAACAGAGATTCAGCCAGGTTTGCGGCATCACCTGGGACTGTGCTATGCACTATCCTCCAGGCTGTGCCCCCCTCGACGCGAGGGGAGACCACCGAAGCCACTCCCTGGGTACAGAGGTGAGTCGGGCGGTGGCATGGCCAGGGGTCCAACAGCGACCTTTGCCACTGCCTCACCCAGCCCGCGGATGAGTGACCCAACCTCTGGCTCGTCCTGCTCAAATGCTGTCTCCGCAATGCGCCTGAGCCTGGCCAGCCTCTTGACAAAGGGCCGCTTGCTGACCTCCTTTGAGTTGATGACTCCAACAGTCTGAGCGTGCAGCGCCTCCAACGGGACGAAAACCACGGCGGATGCCTTGAGGACCGAGAAGACCACCGACTGGTCCTCCTTGTCGGTGTTCTCCACTGCGGCGATCCCCTCCTCAGGGCCGTCCATGGCGGGGGGAGGGACCCCATCCATGGGAAACCAATGGGCAGACATCCCCCTCGGGGGCCCTGCCAGCGCCTCGTCGTGCACCTGGGGCTCGGGGTCGCCCATGAACGACTCCGCACGGTCCGCCACGCATGGTTCCCACACTCCAGGGAAGATCTTGGAGGGCGAAAAACAAGACGTGGTGCTGTTCCTGGCGCGCGACTCCAGGCGACATCCCTTCTGCATGAACTTGAGGTCCCTCTCGCTGGCATCTGCCACGGTGCGCCCTGCCGCGTCCGCGTGCAAGGCAACATTGCGGCGCAGCACGCTGAGCTTTGACTTCTCCCTCGAATGGAGCAGGTCCAGCAGGGCGGGGGCCAAAGCGAGCACTCTGTCGGAGAACTCAGGGTCCCAAAATAGGGCCTCTATCGCTTCCCTGAAACGCTCGCACTGGCTACGAAGGCGAACCACTTCTTCCGACAATCGAAAGATGGCCCGATCGGCAGAGAGTTTCGCCCATTCCCGACGCCTCTTGCGGTCGGAGGAATTTCGTTGATGTGAGCTCGCATCACCCGAGCTCTCCCGTAAACCATCTTCAGCGCGGCACACGCCGCCAAATGCTCCTGCCGAGGGAACCATCACCTTGCCGGCTAGAACAATGGGGCTTGTGCTCGCTGCTGAGCGGCCTTGAGCCAAAATGGCTACGGACCTCCTCCTCCTCCTCCTCCTCCTCCTCCTCCTCCTCCTCCCCTCTCCTCCTCCTCCCTTCCCCCTTCCTCCTCCTCCTCCTTCACCCCGCCCCCTCCCCCCTCCTCTCTCCCATCCTCTCCCATCCTCCCGCCTCCCATCCCCCTCCCCTCCTCCCTCCTCCCTCCACCTCCGCCTCCTCCTCCTCCTCCTCCCCCCTCCTCCTCCCCTCCTCCTCCCCTCCCCTCCTCCTCCCCGCCTCCTCCTCGCTCTCCCTCCCTCCTCCTCCTCCTCTCCGCCTCCTCCTCCTCCTACCTCCTCACCCTCCCCTCCTCCTCCTCCTCCTCCCCTTCTCCTCCTCCTCCCGCCCCCCTCCTCCGCCTCCTCCTCCTCCTCCTCCTGCCACCTAGGCGTATTGTGGTTCCCGACGTACCCACTTCGGTCACCCGATCCTCGTCGCCGACCCCTGCCCTCTGGGCGACTCTCCCCACCACGTGCGCGCGATCACCCTCGCCCGCGTGGCACAGGGCCCAGCGGCGCCAGCGCGCCGAGGCCAGACGCAGACTGCGCCACCGCAGGGACCTTGAGCTGATCGAGAGCCATCACGGTTCGGCGGTTCCCATGGGCAGTGATGACCGAACGTGGCTTTGCAGATTCTGCGTGCACGCAGCCAGTGGGGAACGTTTCTTCAACAAATCGGCGAGGCAGAGTTGCTGGCAATGCAAGCGGCCCAAGTCGGCGTGCTTCCACAGTTACAAGCCTCCGCCATCACCATCCGTACGAAAGACCTCTGCACCACGAGCTGCCGACAAAGAGGACACACCTTGGGCCATGGCTGCAAAGCTGCGAGAGGCGCAGAAGCAGATCAAGAGGCTCGAGCAGGACATGCAGAAGCAGCGCAAGCAGCAGGAGTTGCAGCCCGAGAAGGTGCAGCAGGTGGTCGATCTCTCAGATGAACAGGGTGACTGTCCTGATATGCTGGTTGATGATGGTAAGAACTTTGATGAAGGACAGGCCCGAGCCAGAATTCACGAGCTGGAGAAGCAGCTGGACATGGCCAAGGGAGTTGGAGAACACTGGGATGTGCTGCGGACGGCCATTCGCACTGAGAAGGATGAGCCCCAGCAGCGTGTGCATGCTCACAAGCCCGCCTCGGCCCAGATGTTTCACATCAACCGCCAGCTGTTCCAGGAGTCACAGCGAATCTCCAAGGCGAAGCTGGCGATACACAAGCAGGAACAGCACATTCAGGAGCTTCAGAAGCAGTTGCAGAGTGCACAAAAGGATCTGGCGGAAAGGGAGGCGAAGCATGAAGAGCTCCGACTACGGCAACTGGAGTTGGCCCAGGCCGCAGTGCAGCCACCAGACGGAGCGGCTCGAGCGCACCCGCAGGATGCGCCCATCACCGCGCTGGGATTGGACTGCACGGCCCTCGGGCGAATCCTCAAGCAGTTGGGGGCAGGCGAAGCAGCCGAACCCATGGCCGAGGAGATCGCCAAGCAGCTACCGACTTTGGTCACAGGAGCGACCATGGCGGTGTTGGGCTCTACGACTGGAGGGCAAGCTCTGCTCCCAGGAGCGCTACATGGTGGACCTGGTGCAGGTGGTGTGCATGTTCCTGTACCTGAGGAACCAGCTCCTGCCACGACGTCTATCCGTGAAGCAGATGCTGCGGTGCTACGTGAACATCTCAACGCAGTGGGCGTTCCGATCAGTGACACGGCGACTGATGATGAAGTGCGGCAGGCGGCCAACAAGTTGTTCACATGGAGTTCGGCGCCGATGCGTCAAGTATTTACACCGTTTTGAGTCAATGGCTGTCGTTGGGATGGTTTGTCTATACCTGCAGATGGCGATGGCTTCAACGACTCCAGGGAGCAGGTGTACAGAAGGTGCTCCCGACAGGTTGCAGGTTCCAGGACTGGCGAGTGCGGCGCTTGACGCTAACCCAGTCCTGAAGCCTGTGAGTGGTAATGTGCAAGGTGCTGACGTTATGGCGGGCTCGCCACATGTACTACGAGGTGCTGGTTCGATGAATGGCGCCGACGCTTCGGCGTGCTCGCCACAAGGACAGCATCGAGATGAACGTTTTCACTCGCATGAGCTGGTGTCTCGACATGGAGATGCGTTGCAGCATGCTAAGATTCCCTCAACCCCACCTTCTTCTGGATTCACCTCCAAGAAATACGGCGGTCAAGAACGCGACGATGGTGGAGATCTGACTGTAAAAGGTGCGGTCACCACTATCAACGTTGACAACACGGGACCCCTGCTCAGGTACATGGAGCAGTGCAAGTCAGCGGTGGTTCTCGTGCAGGAGCATAAGGCGGACGATGCTGCACTCCCTGGGCTCGAGAGAAGATTGCGACAGTATGGATATCATGGCATCTTCGCGCCCGCTGTTCGAACGGAGTTGGATGGCATATCATCGGGAGTGGCAGTGCTCGCGCCTACGTACGTGACGGTCACGCGCCCCCCAGGACTGGATGAGCCGATTCTTTATGATGGTAAGATGGTTGCAGCGAAAGTATCTTGGGGAATTGCAGATGGAATGGTTGCAGTATCAGTTTATTTCAAAGACTCGGTGGGACTAGATGAGCAAAATCAAGACATGCTGTATAGGCTTGTTTGTTATCTGGGGCGCCTCAACGACATGGCACAGGGTTGGGTGGTTGGAGGAGATTGGAATATGGTCTCCACTACTTTTGACGGGCAGGCATGGCTGGAGCAGTTGAAGGCCATGTTTTTGGTACCCACACATATCACCTGCTGTACGACGAACGCTTCGGAGGGTAGCACGTATGATTACTTCATCATTTCAGAAAAGCTGGCTACAAAAGTTTCGCCTCCAGAAGTTGATGTTGCGGGTGGATTGCCAACGCATTTTCCAATATCGCTTCCAATTATGAATGGGCACAGAACAGTATGGTTGCGTATACCTCAGGAACCCCGACAGCTGCCCAAGGGCCCACATGTAGGATGCTCGCGACCACCTTTGAAGTGGGATGATACAATGAGGTTGGTGCAATCAGTTAGTGTTGAACCCGAGCTTCGACATGCATGGGACCTGGTAGTTTCTGGAATTGAGGCAGAGATATTGGCCCGTCGTGACTTAGTTGGTGACGTGGGCAAACCATATGCTGGACGAGCTGGACCTATTGTTGACAGATTCGTGGAAGCCAAATGGGATGTCCAGCACACTAGGCAGCAATATGGACCACAAGCCCGTGCATGGATCACCGCTTCGAGATGGGCCAAACATATATTGCGCGTCAGAGCATTCTGGATCAAGATGATAGCGGCTTACAGAAAGGAACATGAGCTGGTGCGCTCTGGTCTCAGACTGCCGGATTACACCTCACCATGGACTTCTGTGCATATGAGTACAACAGTGGAGGAAGGTTGGAGTTTGGTTTGCAGACGACGGCGTGCTAAATGTAAAGAAAAAGCTGAAGGTGAGCAGGATGGCACGATTGCACGGCTTGTTCTGTCTATCAAGCAGTTTCACGGCTTCGTACATCGAGTGCAACAACAGCAAGAGCTCCTGCAACTTTTGGAGCCTGAAGCACGTGAATTTTTCATGGCTGGTGTGGCTGTTCTCTCGGATTCACAGTTTGAGAAGAGGGCCTTCAGTATAATCGAACGAGCTGATGATTTTAGACAGCAGGTCCAGCGCAAGAGTGAACAAGATTGGAAGTGTTGGATTGGTAAGGCCTTTTTAAATGGCGCTGGACAGGCGCACAAGGCCTCCAAGACCAAGGCGCTGGCTGCATCCATCGAGTGTACTACACGAACGCAACCATATCAACTTGCAGATGATGAGATGTGGAAGTGGCGTGAAGTCTGGACATGTCATGATACCAAGCGTGTGGAACTACCGCAGGGCTCCAGTGGCTGGGATGAGTTGCCCTTTATTCAGGTCCAGGACATCAGGGAGGCCGCCCACTCCTTTCCCTGGAAGACCTCGGTTGGCTACACGAGAATTCATCCCAGGAACTTCGGGTACGTCTCGGACCAGGGATTGGCTGTCTTGGGAGCTCTGTACATGGTATGTGAACGCATGATGACATGGCCATCACATCGCATAATAAATGAAATGGTTAAGATTGCGAAACCAGATGGAGGGGCTCGACTTATCACACTAATTGAAAGCATGGTAAGGCTATGGGCACGCGTGCGTAGACCTGTATCACAACAGTGGTTGCGTGCACATCCTAGTCCACACATATGGGGCAATCGTAGAGGCTTCTCGTCTTCATACGCTGCATATGAGCACAATCTACAAGCCGAAGTAGCGCATCATCTAGGGGAACATGCGATCACTATCGTAGTGGACATGTGGAAATGCTTCGAGACAGTGCTGTTTCCTGCTCTCCTCAATGAGGCACAGTGCATGTCTTTTCCGCTTCGTCTACTGTGGCTGCTGTTGGAGACGTATGCGCAGCCCCGAGTGATCCGTGCATATGGATGCTGGAGCATCCCGACTCGTGCGCTGCAGGGCATATTGGCGGGATGCACACATGCCACCACGCTCTTAACGGTTCTTACATATCGTGCGGTCGTGAAGGTGCACACACACTTCAGGGACGTCATGCCTCGCGCGCTTGTTGATGACAGCACGTTCCAGTGGACAGGTAACGACATTTCGGGCGCAGCCAACTTGCAGCGCGCGGTGTATATGTTCAGCCAGGATGCTGCTAAGCTAGGCATGATCATTAAGTTCGAGAAGTCAGGTGTTGTAACGAATACGAAGAGAGCGTTGAAAGGGTTCCTAGGCAGGGCCCAGCAGCTACGCCTGTCGGCCAAGAAATGGATTCGAAACCTCGGTCATGAGATGCCAGGGAGCCGTCCAGTTCGGAAACAGGCACAGGCTAGAATGAAGTCTCTTCGTGCTCGTCTTCCTCGCCTGCAGATGCTGCGCCGAGGAGCGGGTGTACAGGTCACCGCTCTAT